TGGACTTGCAAATGTTTTATTACTGCAGCACAATCTCATGGCAATCCCTGACTGCATTTGTTTACATTTTGTCAAATCGCATTTGTACAGTCACAATATTTTTCTAAACATCTTATACATTTAAACAATTTAAAGATTACGATTTTTTTTTCTGTGAGATTGGGTTAGCAACATTCTCTGGTGACATTTTGTTCTTACTCCTCTGGCAAAAATAAATTAAGATTTGTTTTTCAGATTTGTCAATGCAAAAAAAAAAAAAAAAAGACTTTGCTGTCAATTTACTCACCTCACAGTCGCATTTTAAGTCATTTACTACCACCAATTTTGAGTTTTGAGAAAACAATAATAAAAAAGAAACACACACATATACCGCAAACACAAAATTGTTATAATGCTATAAAGTTATAATGCTGCAAATAATCAGAACAAATTAAATGTTTTGCTTCATAAAACCTCAATACATCATCAAGGGTCATGAGTAGGCCCACACAGAATCTGTACCCGCAGCAATCCGCAGATTTTTAACCCATCGTGTTTATGTATTTACTTGTGTAAATGTGTGTACATTTATATTTATTCAGGTTTTAAATTAATAAAATTAAAATGTTTATATGTCTTATTTGCAATATAGTTTGTAAATCAATATTTTCTGTCTTTTAGTAGACATATTATATGAGAGACTTGCTTTGTGTATCAAATAAGTGAATCTAATTGGATTTGCATTGTAAACATTAAATTAAAAAAAGTTAACAAGGATCTTTTTTATTTCATATATTAAGTTTTTAGTTATGATACTCCCAAAATCATTCCACATAAATCTGCAGATTTTTTTTTTTTTTTTTTTTTTTTACAAAATTCTCTGCAGAAATAGCAAAAATTGTCTGCAGATTCTGTCTGGTCCTCTTCATGAGTATTACATTTCACGAGACTCAAAGTGCCAGTAATCGCTGAATAATTTAAGCTAAAAATCGTCTTTAAACATTGGATGGCTTGAGAGAAAATAACCTAACAAGCAAACTTTTATTTTTGGGTGAACTTTCCCTTAAACATCACATGGCATTTAAGATCGTTTTGATTTAAAAATGTTCAGATATTTGTGGACATGAAAGCAAGACAAATGCAGAGGAAGAACATTGTTTTTTGAAATGTAGTTAGGAGTATGTGAATCTATATCAGATACTAAATAAAGGAATAGTTCACCCAATGATGAAATTCTGTCATTCTTTATCCCCTTAAACAGTCAGAATCCTGTTTGAGTTTCTTTTTGTTTCCTGTTGAACACAAAAGATATTTGGAAGAATGTTGACAACCACTGACATAGTTTAACCTTCTATGGAAGTCAATGGTTACAGGTTTCCAACATTCTCCAGAACATCTTATTTTGTGTTTAACAGAAGAAAGAAAAAAAACTCAAAGATTTAAAACCACTTGAGAGTGAGTAAACAGTGAGTATGCTTTTATTTGTGGGTGAACTATCCCTTTAAGTTCATGTGTGCCTTCTGAAAGGAACAAGATCCATTCTCATGCACTCCTGCAGCAAACAGATCTCATAGACCAGGGATCGGCAACCCGCGGCTCTAGAGCCGCATGCGGCTCTTTAGCGCTGCCCCAGTGGCTCCCTGGAGCTTTTTCAAAAAATGTTTGAAAACAGAAAAAGATGGGGGAGGTAAATATATTTTTGTTTTAATGGTTTCTATAAGAGGACAAACAATTTTAACGTTTTCCAATGCTGTAAAAGTGTGTAGAATATTTATTTTCAACATTTCTGTCAACGAAGATTTGCGTCATGGAGCGTAAGCTGTCTTTGCCAAAGATGTACAGCGGGGCACGCTCTCTCATTTTCCCTCCCTGAGAGAATTCAAAGAAGCCCATCCCGATCCCTCACTCAACGGTGATTATTTACAAGGTGCGATCGTTGATATGCAAACTGCATTTGGGAGCAGATTTTGCGAGTGGCGAAAGGAAAAAACGAGACTGTCTTTCCTTGTCACACACCCCTGGAGATTGACCCTTCCTTGTTGAGCACATTCCCAGTAAGGGGCACGTTATGCACGTTCATTTTGATGTTGTTTTTTGGAATCCTCAATATAAAAAACATCAAAAATCTGATTTCTTTACTGCATTTCTTTAATTTCATCAAAGCAAAACATGATGCATTAATATTGTAATGAAGTTAAACTTGAACATTAAACATAATTCATTGATATTGTAATGAAGTTAAACTTTAACATTAAACATAATTCATTAATATTGTAATGAAGTTAAACTCGAACATTAAACATAATGCATTAATATTGCAATTAAGGTAAACTTGAGACGGCATCGTACAACAGAGTAACGTGGTGCGTCATTCTCTACAGGATGCACTGCAGGGAAAAAAACATTTAATCATGAAGGCTCAGTATGTATTTGTAGCCAACTAAATCATTTTATAGTAGGCTAATATAGCTAATATAAATACATACAGCATGTGTTGCCTTCATTATAAGGCTTATATAAGGCTTTTAATTTTTTGCGGCTCCAGACATATTTGTTTTTGTTTTTTTTGGTCCAGTATGGCTCTTTCAACATTTTGGGTTGCCGACCCCTGTCATAGACACTGAACATTTTTTTTCCTGGACATCATTTCAATTTAACTTAATTTCTTTTCAAAAGACAAAGCAGTGACATGATCTGTTTTGGAGATCGTTTTCTCATCTGATGATGCTCTTACATAGAATATAGAATTGTAGCAACTTTGAAATACCATGTGTTTCTTTTATGCAAATAAAAGGCCAAAATACAAAACAAAGAAAAAGTGCAAATCTGCTAATAATGCTTAACAATGCAGCGTCTATTCAAACACACACTGTTTCTGTGTATTACAATACTGTGGCCTCCCGTCACATGATCCTGCACAGCAGGAGATATTGAAGGCCTGTGATGTCACTGATGACCAGTCGTCATCCTCTCCTTCCACACCATGTGGAACTTTCCAGCACAGACACAGTTAGCAGGGTGGCGTCCTATCAACACTTCCTGCCCCACAGTTAATGATGCCCTCTTACTCTCATCCAGACAACAGCGCTCTATACATAGTCCACTAACAGATTGAAAGCAAGACAAACTACACAGTACACATGGACTGAGCTTTACAATAGATCTTGCTCCTTAACAAGTGTTTCTTCTTTTTTTTTTTTTTTTATCATCTTAGGTCACGGCACCATATAAACTGGATTCATCTTGAAATTAAGAATGACTCAAAATTATTAGCTGCATCCCAATTCACACAGGCCACATACAAACAGTTCAATTTAAAAGTGAATTTTTCAGGTGAGGTGAATTATCATTCTGTGTGTACAGATCATGGCTAACTCCATAAAACGCCATGACTGACATTACTGTGAACATCAAGTTGACATCTCGTGATTTGGCATCCAGCTTTTTTTTTTAAACAGCAATAATATTCAAAGGTTTTAACTAAACCAGTGTAAACAGAGCCTTTGGTAGGCTTCCACACACAGAGTTCAGTAATATACAGAAGTGAGCAAATTAATGGGGTAAAATGCTGGTAGTGATAACCACATGTACAGACATTATGTGCATTTTCAACAGACGTGAATTGAATAACTACCTAACGACACACTTGATTAAATATCTGGTGGTTTATTTATGAAAGGCTGTTTTACAGAGTGGCGGTGTGGTGGCGCAGTGGGTAGCGATGTTGTCTTGCAGCTAGAAGGTCGCTGGTTCGACCCTCGGGTGCGTCAGTTGGCATTTCCGTGTGGAGTTTAGATCTTCTCATGTTTGTGTGGGTTTCCTCCGGGTGCTCCAGTTTTCCCCACAGTCCAAATTTTTTTACAGTCATTGGTTCAAATGCATGCGCTATAGGTGGATTGGGTAAGCTAAATTTGTTTGTAGTGTATGTATGTGAACGCAAAAGTGTATGGATGTTTCCCAGAACTGCGTTGCGGCTGAAAGGGCATCTGCTCTGTAAAACATATGTGGATAATTTGGCGGTTTATTCGACTCTGGCAACCCCTGATTAATAAAGGGACTAAGCCGAAAATACTTAGGGGATCCAGCTTATGGAGTGGTTAAAGTAAGTAGGACCTGGTTGTGATATTATGGAATGTGGCTTATTTTTTTCAAAGATATAGTAATTGTTTCCAAGTTTAGCAAGAGATGTTTTTGTTAAGCAAGTTCTGACAATGCTAAATGTCATGCAATGTTTTTGGGGCATTTCTAAAACTATATAATCAAATGGGTCTTTAACAAATAGCTATAGAGTTCACTTCTGTTGACAATGCAGAGAATGACTGTAAACCACACTACCTGTGTTTTTCCCCATTACTTTGATCACTTTTGTAAATGATTGAACTGTGTATCTGTGTGTGAACATACCACAGTTTAATAAAAAAAAGATGAACTCACAGCCAAAGTTAGCAGCAGTGTGAATGTGGCCATACTTACAGTGCTTAAACACCAGTGCATACTGGCAGAAGCTCTTACAGCTCACTCATGAAGTAAAATCTTCACTGATAAAGTAGGTGAATAATATTACTTCATGAAACTGTATATTATTACATTTTGCTTCAGCATTGGATTAAGTAGCAGAACTTTACACATCCCTTGCAGAATCTGTTAAACATACACTAATTTTTTTAATGTAGAATTGTGTCACATATTTAGGTACGTACACATCACAGTCGATTGATGAGGCAACCAAGGGAATGTAAACTTTCAAACAGGATATTTGGAATAATTTCAGTTATATCTGATTCATCTGTTTAATAATTGCCATCTCAAATTGTGCAAGTATACAAAGTCCAAAGTATTACAAATCACATAAATGCTAATATGCATATATATTTATGAATCTAAAGTATGCGAACTGGGATGCAGGTCTAAATGTTAAGACGTCACCGGTGAATTCACAGCGTCATACAAATCCAACCTATTTTTCAGATGCCTGCGATAAGGTCACGTTGTCAAGCCTGGAACAATAAGACAAAACCTGATGCCTTATTTCATGTTTTATTTTATAGATGTGAACATAAAATATCTTTTAATCATTCAGCCCTTTTAAAATTAATCTGAACAGGTATACAATTAGCATTATTACAACCAACGTAAAAGTCACAAGAGTGCCGGTGCGACGCTCTATACTGATCTACATATATTTGAAGTGTTTTCAATTTGTTAGAGAAAGTTTTAGGAGAAAACATAGAGGGCTGTGCTGTTCTCCGCAAAACACATCATGCAAAAATTAAAAATAAAAAGGCGCAAGTCTCATTAGCATTTTCTTTTCCTTTAGATTCTGAATGCATAACGATAGATTGCCCTTCTACAAAAAAGTACGGGCTATTTTTATTGGCGAATCTTTTAATACCAACGCATAGTGTAAAATCCAAGACATTCGTAGTTAAACATGACGATCTGAAACATCCTACATAGAAAATAATAATAATAATAATATCTTAAAGCTATGCGCAATTAGTTTTCGTTTAGAAAAATGCTTCAACAACAACAGCAACAAACAGAAATTACACTATATCAATGGATCTTCTAACCGGGCAGCACGATGACAAAAAAAGGCCTAAAAACCTTCATAGATTCACAGTCAAAGGTCACAATATAAGCTCCAACCCCATCTCTGGCATCCGCCCTCAACGTTCATACAAACTATGAAAATACAAGGCCTCCCTCTAGTGGACGGCAAATAGTGTCATTATGCTCTAAGGGCGAGGGAAATTACATTCGACAGGCACTTGATTGTAACGCAGAGCCACCGTTCATCACACCTCTGTCAGACTCACGAACAGAGAAGGCAGTAAAAAGCATCGGACCCACAGGAATGTGCCACAGATCTCCCAAACAAGCACGTCAAGAGAGGACACAAGTATGCATGCATGGCAATTTCCTGCCTTGCTATACAGACACTAGAAGTATGCTTATTCTGTCATCATGAGAAACCAGAGCATGCTTCCCATCTGTCAGATGCCAAGTGGTCTGGTTAGCCGAAAAGAATGAGAAACAAAACAAATCTGCAGAAGAGAGGTGAATAAATAATTGAGAATTCAGTGTAAAAGAAAAGAGTGAGGAATGAGGTAGAGACATCAAACCAGCCACTTCAGAGACAGGAGAGATTGCTCTGCATGAGAGATGATAGAGAGAAGAGACTCGTTTTTTTGTCACCCATTCAGCTCATGAATTCGTTCCTGTGCCGTTGGCGGTGGGAGTCCAGAGTTAGCGGGGGCTCCGAGTCGTCCATTGGAAGGACCAGTCGGGTTCCTCGGATTACCAGCTCGTGGTCGCCGAACGCCAGCTCTCGATCCAAGGCCTCGTCCGAGTTCACCGCTGCTCCTCCCATGAGGACGCCGCTTGAGTGGGCACCTGTGCCATCCGTGCTCACAGCGATGTCACCGTACGTAAGAGTGATGTCACCATCGTTCAGGATCAAATCGGAGTCTGCGTTTTTCAGCTCGCCTTCATTCTGGAATGAAACACACAACAGTGACCTAATTTTTGGGGGGAATGTGTCAGACTGCGAATAGTCATACTGCAAAGAGACTTACAACAAGCATGAAATTGTCCTAGAGCCTAATGTAATAACAGTTAGAGTGATTAAAAACATACAACTGTTTAACATCACTAATCAAGATTATTATATTTTTTCAGTAAGATCACACTAATGTTGAGTTCAGACGATTTTCAAAATAGTCGTGTCACAGAAATTTTCACACTGCATGACTATCTGGGGTAGCCTTCTGTCGGTGCTGTGTTTACACTGCAATTGGTGACGGGGTTTCACACTGCATGAATTTATAATAGGAAGAATTGCCGACAACGTTGTTTTGGTCCACAAACTACATCTCACAACCAAACATACACGAGAAGTGACATGAAAACAACGCGTTAGGCCTGTCGATTAATTGAAATCTCGATTATTTGAACATTTTAACTCTATTACGATTAATGAGTGATTCTTTTATTAACATAATTTTTTTTTGCCCTCTCCGTGCTGCTTACATTCGTCAAAGCTACTAAGCTGATCAATCACAGAGCTTATGCTATGAGTCGTTGTGACGTGTAGTTACATTTTTTGAGAGGTCAGCGTCAGTGCCGTCACGGCGAGGGGTTTGCGAAAAAGTGTAAACAGAGCGGGTTCACAAGACTCCACAGGTGGTGGGAAAAGAAATTGAAAAAATTGACCTGGAAAATTTTGATTGTTTAGAGCAGGGTTCTCAACTGGTTTAGCCATGGGACCCATATTCTTACATGGTCATCAAGCCGCGACCCAAATTTTTAGAAACTATAATACAATTTTAGGAATTATAATTAATTTGTAATTGTTTGTTAACATAAACAAGTAGTGACAGATAGTGACAGATAGTGACAAACAAGTGACAGATACATCAAAAGAAATTCACCAAGACTTACAAATAAACAATATTTTATTGCTGTCTTTTAACAAAAATGGATCAAATTATAGAAATATTACAAAAACGACAAATACTGTTAATAATAAACTGTTAATAAAACATGTTTTCTGGTTTCTAAATGTTGTTTTAATTTAGAAGGTTTCATGTTCTCTTATGAGAGCACCTCACTACACATGACACTGAGGCTTTAAGTCTTTTTTGTCATCAATATATATATCCATACTTTACATATTTGGGGTCGTACTTGCGATTCGACAAATTTGTTGCCACAATTAAATGAAATTTCACATGTCAAACGGTAGGGTTGTCACGCACGCATTTCAAAATAAAAGTCCGTTGTAAGCAAAATAAGTAAAAATGTTTACTTTTGTTGTTTTTTTTTTCTCCCCACACTCTGCGACCAACTGAAAATGTTCCCAACACCCACTTTTAGAGGTTCTGAATGCCAGTTTTGATTACTTTTTAATTAATCACCCAGCCCTACAACGTGAGGTCACATAGTATATCTTTTGGGGTAGAAAATGAACTTATTTTGCTCACCCGGCTTTTAAAAGGAATAAGCAATTTCTCTCAAACTTTTTTCTTTATTGACCCAGTTCTGGTATTGCTCAGATGACACATTAAAACCACACAGGTGCTAAAGCCAAATTTCCATTATTTTTACCTTTATTTCTTGCATTCACATAGACAAAAGAAAAAAAGCTTTTAAATCGCGACTTTGATCGTTCACACTGTGTGATTGTTGCTCATGTAAACAAGCAGTGTCTTGCCTGTGATTTTAGGCATTTTAGGCATTTGTCTCAAAACCTGTCTGCGAGTCAAAAATCGGGGCTAAAATCACGCAGGCTGAAGTTGATCAAAACTGACAGTAAAGACAAACAATAAATACTTGAAACTCTGTGTTCTTCAAAAAACCTAAATAAAAATGTATGATAGCTTCAATAAAAATGTTAACCAGAAAAAATAATTTCAACATGGATAATAATCGTAAATATTTCCTGAGCAACAAGGAAAGATAATGTGATGCAGAAAATTGGAGTAATGATCATATAAAAGCAGATTTGGCATCACAGGAATATATAATATTTGTAAATACATGACAAAAGAAGTGTTATTTTAAACTATGGTATTTTACAACATAGTCAACTGAAGTTTTCATCAAATAAATGTGATGAGCAAGAAAATTATTATGCAAATTTTTACAAATCATTTAAACGGTACTGTGCATAAAAGTCGTAGAGTCTCTTATATATAATAAAATATAATAACATAGATAATGACTACAGTAAAAGGTGTCACATCATCGAAATAAAAAAACAAATTTACACTATGAATTAAAATCGTCACCATCCCATAAAATATATTTCATAAAGAGTGAACTCTGGAATGAGGACAAGCATTTATTAGAGGTCACTAAGGAATAGTTAACCAGGCAAGTCAAACACTACATTGATCAACTAGGAAACAGTTTACAATAATGTTCTGAATAAGGATCTGTTAACGTTACATTAGTTAACATGAAAAATATATTTAATGCATAAAAACAATATTTTGATATAATCATGTTTTATAAAGTTTCAGTTAACAGAATTATGGAGCTAACAGACCAACAATGATCTGATGTCTGTGTATTTACTAATGTAATTAAAAATTTAAAAGTGCTTTAACAACTGTATTTCTCTTGAAAAAAAACATTTCACGTAACTTCTCTAAGAAACTTCTAGCCTATAAGATCTGAGACTCTACATCAATAAAGTCAAGCCCTGCCTTTACAATTCTTGTGTAACACAATAATTGCTTGCTATAAAAAATGTGAGGACTATGATGTGCAATAAAAATGATATGCCCTGCTGGTGGTTTCTTTGAACACTTGTGTCTCAAATCAGGAGAACTAGATGTTTAAAACAAAGTCAATTAACACTAACTTTCAAAAATGTTTTGGGATAATATTGATATAATTTAAGATTTTTGCATTGCTTGTGAAATTTAAGAAGAAATAACATTTAAATGGCTATCAAAATCTAAGACATGAAAATTTCAATTATATTTACAGTTTTACACAATTCATATACACGTTTAGGAAACCTTAGAAAGCACAGTTTTGTAAACAAAGTGCAATAAACTTTTTTACTTGTTAGTTTTTGTTCTGTAAATCACAAAGAAATGTGAGTTATTTTAAAATGCTAAAATGTGCATATTATGTGTTCACTTAAAATTATGTCCCCTTACTACAAAAACATCAACAGTCAACTACAGAGGCCTCTTGCATAAGGTTTTTACCCAAGTTTGCATTTAGTTTGAACAAACTCTTACGTTTTCAGGCTTAAGAAGACAGGTTGTTTTGATTAGGTTTATTTAACCCGGTAAACTGTGCTGCACTGCTAACCATTTCCGGAGCAGATTTTAATCTGGGTTTAATCTGACCAATCAGTTGTGAATATATAATGACGTATATCTGATGCAACAAAGCAACCAACTTTCTAAATGTCAATTAATATATAAAGCTTGTAAAATGCCTTTTAAACTTTGTGAACCAACATTATTAAAACAAATCATTGATTCTTGCATCGATATAATAAAATTCTTTACATTGCCTTCTCAAACATTTGCTGCTCCAACAGCATATATTTCAATGTATTAAATTCAGGGTTTGTACATATTTTTACTACTAAAATACCATGACTTTTCCAAGATTTTTCCAAGATTTTCAAGTAGATTTTCAAGACCTAAGGTTTCATGCAATGTCAACATGTGCGTGGTAAAAGAAAAACAATGCACGTTCAAATTTATTACAGCATATCGTAAAACACACAACAATCTATTTAGTTTCAATTTATATTTATATCTATGTAAAATTAATTTAGATTATGCTTACACCGCACTAATAATGTGAGAGTCTGTGATTAGCCAAGGACAGCTTAGAAGTCAAGACAACTAACCTATATTTAACAATACAGATATTTGTTTTCCATGCAAATATTATGGGTTTCTGTTTTTCCAAAAGGCCTGGAAAAAGCCATGTCAAAACTCCATGACTTTTCCAGGTTTTTCATGACCATATGAACCCAGTAAATGATCAATTATATATTTCTTATATTTTTATATTTCTGAGTTTGTTCAACTTGTTATGTGCAAAAGTCCTCAGGACTGTACACAGTGTGCGTACATAGTATGCGCAGTTTCTTTACAAAGTGACATCACCAACTACTGGCCTATCATGCAGCATTTATGTGAATTTAGGAGAATGAGGATGGATTTGACTACATTGTTGTCTGCATGTGAAACTTCTGAAAAAACAAAAAGGTAAAACTCTTCTGTTGTCTCTACAATCGCTGTAATGAAAACACTCGTAATTTCTTCCACAGATAGGCTCTGATTATACAAATAACGAGCAACAGCAGATGTGTTCACGCCTCTGTTGACTAAATCAGTCCTCATTCACTGTCTGTTCACAGGTCTCTGGTTAATCAGCTCTAGGAGGGGGTAATTTGAGTCAACTGCTAGAGCCTATTAAACAGCAATTAAGAATGAGTTTGAAGGCTCCGTCCCTATAAATACAGATTCTGTCTGTCACTATCTGGTAGTAAGCAGACACAAACGACTAGTTTCTTTGGTGTTCTGCCTAATTAAGAGTCAGAACTGCAGATAATTGTTTGTCCTCTGCATGTGGGTACAGTACAAACCTCATAGGCCTGTGGGCTGGTCAGGCAGCGAGCCAGAGGACTACAGCAGGCTGGAAGTGTGGCAGTGAGCGGTGGTCCGCTGTGGGTCAGAATGGGCTTTAGATAACTGTAGGTCAAGAGGGTTAAGGATTTTCCAGCCAAAGTTGACACTTGCAATCACTTACATCCAAAATAACCATGACACTGGAGCAGCAGCCAATTTAATAATCTCCACATGAATGAATCAAGTTTTAGTCTGATACATGCATGCAGGTAGAAAAAATGCCCTAACTTTGAGTTCACGCTATCGGAAGTGGCAGAAACATTACCTTTTTTAAATGCATGTATTCTTAGCTTATAACACTCTTAGCTTATAACACTTAGCTTATAACACTTATAACGTTGTTTTTTTCATTCCCATCTGATTCTGTCTTTATGCAGTTTGCTAATTAGAGCTACACTGCAAAGGATACTTGTGATCAAAGTTGTACCAGATCCTGAACAGCCAGGCGCTTTCCTGTTTAGTGCTCCTCCTTTCAACTCCATCAGGGCCGATCTGCAGGCGGACACAGAGGAAACCATCATTACACTGATCTGCTCTGATAAGACAATGTTCACCTGTCCACACCAGAGCAAAAGCACTTACAGAGTTCTCATGATCTGTGTCCACTCCAACACTGTCAAAAACAAAACACATGTTGACAACAATAATTATGACTATAAAGACAACTTTAATGTTCTGTTTATTAATTATAATAAAATGTTGCCCTTTAAAATATTGAGCGCTTTAAAACAGGATTCTGATTGTCTTGCTTTAGTTGCTTTAATTCTAAATATTCTGTTCCTTTTGGGAGAAAGACTTCAGGTGTTTTTCTGCTGTTTTTTTCATTATCAATAGACCCAAACCCCTTAACAGTGTTGATTAAAATTCTTCTTAAATTCAGTACAGGCTGATGTACTGTAGCCTTTGCAACTTTTTAGTTTTTAGCCTTTTTACATGCTCTTAGAAAGGCATATCCCCTAAGCTATTACACCACCACCACAAGCCTGAACCGTTGATACAAGGCAAGATGGAAACTTGCATTAACAAGCAGTTGTAACTAACAAATTGGATATTTTACCTTATTATTTATATAATCATTTAGTGTATAATTATGTTTTCCTGATAATTTCTTGATTGGTGCATTGTATCCATGCATGATTTCTGAACTAAGATGAACCGAATAAACAAACAAAAAAAAGATACTGTTCCTTTATAGCATTAACATCATAGCTGTGATGAAGACTTTAGTACTGTTACACACACACGCGCACACACAAACACACACACACGCGCACACACGCACGCACGCACACGCATACATCCTTGGTTTGACCAGGAATTAACAAGAAAAAGTTGTTTGAATTTCATCCCTTTCTAATTAGCATTTTAGCTGTCTAATTAGTTCAGAGCCAAGTTTTAAATGGCTTGGGATGTCTACATATTATTCCCTGTGCACAGAAATGGACAAAAACAAGAACAAAGGCCACGTTTAATGAGTTACTCATTCCCATCGTATGTTACATGACAGGAAAAGGTCGTTCAGGCTAAAGGTGAGATTGGAACTGACCGGATTTTCTGACAGGACAGCATCTGAGTTGTGCCTCCACCGCAGATCCAAACCGTGAAGAAGACCACCAGCAGCGTGGTAGAAAACATCATCTGCCGTGCATATGTAGCTGTGTCCCTGATGGACAGGGCAAAAGTCATGGCACCACGAAGACCTAATGAGAGGTAGAGCAATAACAAAAAAGGCTGCATAATTGGTTGACATATATGATACATGTTGTTTTTTTGCAAATCTGACCTGTTGACCCAGTTTAAGGTCAAGAATGTAGATTTTCTTTCAATCACAAATAATTTTCCTAACTTAGTTATCTGTTTAGTGACTATTTTAAGTAGACAATTCATGGGTTTGTCTCTCGCAAAAGTTTAAATATTGATGCTAACCTATTATGATTAAACTTTTGACCCATATGCAGTATACGTTGTACTGCCAAGCTCATCATAAAACAGTAAAATGTGGTAGGAAAAAGAAAGAAAGAGCATGATAAGCCTAAGGGGAATTCACAACAATTGTGAAAATCTACTTTATTTTTGTAATTCCACTAGTTGAAACTAATAACACAGAAACTACATACAGTTGAAGTCCAAATTATTACTTTTTTTTACAAATCCTTCCCAAATGATGTTCAACAGAGCAAGAAAATTTTCACAGCATTTCAAGTAATATTCTTTCTTCGGCATAAAGTCTTATTTTATAAAGCCTATATCTTTATTTTGGCAAGAATAAAAGTAGTTTTTATTAAAAAAAAAACATTTCAAGGTCAAAATCATCAGCCCGCTTAAGCAGAATGTTTTTTTTTTAATTGTCTACAGAACAAACCATATTATACAATGATTTGCCTAATTACCCTAACTTGTATAATTAACCTAGTTAAGCATTTAGATGTCACTTTAAGCTGTATAGAAGTGTCTTGAAAAATATCTAGTAAAATATTATGTCCTGTCATGATGGCAAAGATATAATAAATCAGTTAAATTAGTTATTACATTTATTATGTTTAGAAAAAAAAAATATCTCAGTTTACCTGAAATTGGGAAAGGGGCTAATTCAGGAGGGCTAATAATTCTGACATCAACTGTACATGGAAAGTCTTTTTATTTAAATCATGATTTAATATATCTTGGAAAAAAACATAAGTTTAGGAAGACTAAGTGAAGTTTATTTATAAACTAATCATGTGCTTATGATTGTCCACAGCTGGTCCTGCATTAGCTAACACATGATTCACCAATCAGATGATTCCTAATTCACTATAAATAACCAGAGTTTCTTACCTCAGTATCTTCATCTTGAAATCCCTCCCACCCTACTCCCTTCTCCTTTCTAGATTTTGTAACATAGCAGACCAGTGATTAGCACTGTTGCCTCACAGCAAGAACGTCACAAGTTAAAGTCCCTACTGAACCAGTTCACATTTCTGTGCAGAGTTTGCTTGTTCTCCCTGTGCTCGTGTTGGTTTTTCCCGGGTTCCCCAGTTTCCTCCCACAGTCCAAAAACATGCAACCAAAGTAAATTGAACATTCTAAATTGGCATCATAGCTTAACTCTTAGTAAGCTGTATATCTCTCTTTAGCGTCCCTTTATCTGTCATTAGCCAGGAATAAGTCGGGGGAGTTCATTAAGATCTACCAGAGCTCAAACTCACCTCTCGCCCTGCTGACAGGAGGGAGTCCAGGGCTTGAGGATCTTATGAGCTCATAGCTCTCTCTAGGGATAGCATGCCAAACACACTTTATGTAATTTCAAAAGTTCACACCTAGCTGATGATTGATAAGAATTACATTTTCTGGGCTGAACTATCCTCTTAATCTACATCCGTATAAGTCAAATTGAAAAAAAAATTACCTTTCATTCATAATAGTCAGAGAATGACTTTCATTTTTAGATCTCATATGGAAGTGCTTTGTATTGAGTTTTCACTCTTCAAACTATTAATCAACTAAACAGATTTGAATTTGGAAGCTAACTTCAGGATCAACTCAGGATCAAGAAAAACAAACACACAAAATTGGTTCAAGTCTAACCCACTTAACCTTACGACTTTTGGCTTTTACCTTGTTTCTCTTCAAAGATTAAATCTTGGCTGGCTATTACCAATCTCAAGGCACAAACCTGCGAACATCATCATGTGCTGGAAGTTGGAGCTGATCTTGTTTCTACGGCCCAAATTCAGCAGGAAAGAGAGTGGATAGATGTTCGCCGCTCTGCCCAGAAACACGGCCAGCTGGGAGGAGAAGTGTCAAGGAGAAACTGCAGAAATAAAGCTAATACTGCACTGACTGCATCTACAATCCCTTCGGAGCCAGGACATTGTGCCCTTCCTGAGGACTCTGTTAATTTAAAAAAAACAGTTCTGGGCCATTGATTTCTGGGAAACACAATGAGCTGTAACACCCTGGACATATCACTCAACAACAGCCAGCCACTTCCTTGATGGCGCTTAAGCAAAGTACTGCCGTCCAACGTGAGCAAATATGTGGCTTTTAATAATAGTACTTCATCAGATTTTCCACATGTTTTGCAATTGCTGAGAGTATTTTTACTATTGTCTCATTTCTGGCTATTTTTGGCCAAGGCACAAAGATGAAGTTTTAGGATACAAATGCGCACACTATGAAGATCGGGTTAAAGACGTGGTTCTGGAAGGTAAACAATGTCAAGCCCATGTAGGAAAATATGAAGTTCTCAGCCAAGAAATTCAGTAGCTCGAATAACTGTAAGAGAGCACAGTGACATGAAATCATAGTGAGATGTTTATGTTACAAAGATACTTCACAGAATGAAAAGAAATATTCACTTCTGACAAGTTAAGCAGTAAAAGCATTACATTTAATAGAAAGAGCAAAAAGAAAATATATGAAGTTGTTACATCAGTTTCTCCAGTTTTTTACATAGGTTAACAATCTTACACATATATTTCTAGGCCAGTGGCACATGCATTGTGGTGATCTTGTAAACAATGACACGGTCATACTTTTAAACTGTTATCCTTGTCATTTGACAGATAATGAACTATATGCACAGCTAGTGTTTTTCAATCAATGATGAACTTCTAGTGAAAGGTTTATATGATTATTTCAACTTCATAAGGTTCCTTTTACAGCTTTGATGTTGTAATGTAAATCAGATATAATCAGTTAAATAGACTTAAGCATCCATTTGGTTGTTAAAGCGTAAAATGAGATAAAAGACTGTTCAAACACAGGCACCATAGTTAGTGCAGAAACTCCACTGAAAATACTTGTGCAAAATTAATTTTCATGATTTAAAGACATGGTTTAGAAAATTATATTTAATGCAGTGCTACTTGTTTGGTCTAATACTCATTTTTTTAAATCGCACCTCACCCAGGCAGTGAAGATCAATGCTTTTTTTTTTTTTAAATCAGATATTAAATGCTGCAATTTTGTATGGGATGACAATAACTGGAAGCCCTGGGGCTGGCTGGACACACGCACGCACCCACGCATGCATGCACACATGAACGCACGCACGCTTTCCATCATTAATCTTACTTGTTTCGTCCTGTCCTGGGATTCAGGAGAGAGGTTGTTAAAGGTGTAATGGGCCTGTGTCATTCCACAGAACAGAACAGCCACCACACCTGAGCAACACAACAGGAACAAGCATTCAGATACAGCAGTTTATAATATATATATATATATATATATATATATATATATATATATATATATATATATATATATATATATATATATGTTTCCAAGTAGTTTCTAAAGACTCATGGGTTTGAAGCTTACCTGTAAATCCACAGGCCTCTGCCAGCAGAAACGTGCTCCAGGACATGAGAAAGAAAAGCGCCGTCTCCAGCAACGGAAAGTCCCTAAGCTTAGTGAACTTAGTAACGTGGGAAAGAGTCAACGAAAATAACTTGCATGTAAAAAGTACTAAATGCTCTACAGATGTGTAATAAGTAACATGCAGCATTCAAGCAGTAAAGGATATGAGTGCAGTCACGATTCCAGTAGCCACTCCAAGAGCAAAAGAACCACTGAAGACCCCTAGAAAGATGCCAAAGGACTTGAGCATGGCCATTGCTTCAAATGTGTGACTGTTGTCTCCTGTAGGCTGATATGCTACAATTGACCTGGTAAAAGAACAAAGGTATTTACCCACACTCATACAGTGTATTAACATCTAATGTAAAATCAACAGAAAATAAATGCAATAATGCAGCAGATAGAATTGCTACTCAACGAATATAAAAGTTATGAGCAGGGCTTAAAAGTGTGAAGGTTTTGGCAACATCTAAACTAGATAATCATCTATGTTCTGCTTCCCAGTCTCCAGACTGTGGTCATAATACAGATAACATATGTGTACTCATTTTCTGTCATAATATTAGATTGGGAAAATGAGAAGAATTGTGACCAGAACCTCTTAAAGTCAAGTTCTATTTTGGTGTTTCCACCTGGATTTTGCCTACCCAAATTTAAAAGCTTCCCAAACCCACATGCAGAGGTGTAAATGCAAAAGTTTGGTATCATTTTAAAGAAAACCCTTTGAATTTTCATAAAACACTGTTGAAAGTGATTAAAATATTTGTATATGTTGTCTGTGTTATAATAAACTCGTCCTAAAAAGAGGCACTTTGTTTTGTAAACTCAAATTTGAAAGTGTACCTTTCAAGTTTTGTGTGGTGTAGGTTGCTGTAATTAATTTTGGTGGTTCCTGCACGCCAGTAATCATAAGAACAAAGAAAAATGTCTCGATCATAATCTACGCAAAAGTGATTCTATTCCAAACGATGAGAGAACAGAACCACTTATGAGGGTATTGGGTAAGTACGCACCTTTAAAATGTAAAGAATGCGGAAGTAAATTACATCCCAGACCCAGTACCGGGTCCCAGAGTTTAGGAGGTTTGTCTAATTCTTAACAGCTTTGTAATTACAGATATTTTTACTGAAAATAATTTATACTGTGTCAAACTTGCATTGAGAATTGCACAGAAAAAGAAAATAAAGGAGATATGCCGCAATGATGTATACATAATTTAGTTATAAATGTAAAATATGCTACTGTTTGCCCTCACCAAAATGAAAAAAAAATGTAATAATGTATAAATTTATTGTTTATCAAACTGACCAGATGTGCCAATTTTTGATAGTAAAGTCCTATATTTCAACTCTTTTCAACCCTTACAAAAAGAGTTTAAAAAGATGTTTAAAATGAGTTAAAATGTAAATAAAATAACTTATTAACCCCGCGTCACATTTACCACATGAAAAACCTTTGTGTCCACAATTCATTTGTTAGCAAGATGTACGCATTAAATCAGTTATTCATCATATTTTTTACTTACCCTGTTATTCATTAAACCGTACGTTTTACTAAATCTCTTGAAAATAAATTTTTATTCATATAACTACACTGATCTTTTACACTCCTAACATCATTATTAGTATATTGGTATGTTTGTGGTGAGAGTACTAAAAAATGCAATACACAAATACTTACATGCCTCTTTCATTTGAATCAAAATGCGTTTGCTGTGCGCACATTTTGCTTACTTGATGTAAATCATATTACAGTATATCACCTTTGTTCTTTGAATAAGGCACTTTGGAATGTACTGTGTTTCACAGCAGATTCAGGAGATCAAAAAAAGCAAATTAAAGTCCAAAAAATAGGGCAATTCATCAAACAAGTGCTGCTAAAACATGCGGAAACAAAGTAATTGCAAAACATACTGAAAATAAACTAGAAAAGAACTAGCTTTAAGGAAGCTTTATATATTTTGCTCTTAAATATGAGGAAGAGGAGTTTTGCAGCCTAATTTAAATGCACGCTTTTCTTAGGATTGGGGTTGACAGGGCTTGATATTAATGCATGTGGATTTGGTGTGTGGCACAGTAAAAATACCCATCTTAATCAGGGAGTTATTCCTTGAGTGAACATTAACAGTTGGAAAATAGCACATGTGTATCTGTACATTGGGTCCATGCATTAGCTGTATAAAGTGGCATTACATTTATATTTTTATCATAAACTTTAATTATATATAGATTTATTTCCCATTAGGGCTGTGCAATTAATCAAAATTGAATCGCAATCGCAATTTGAAATGTTTCAATTAGTTAATCGCATAAATTAACTAATTAAAGGCTGAAATATAAAATATATATATGTATACATGTAAACAAAAATAACGAATAATATCTTCGTCCGCTATGCTTCAGAAAATTAAACATGCTTGACTTTCTGCGATGGTGTTGTGAGGCATCACAGACATTGTATCGGCTGAACTACGCCACATTACATAAGAATAAATAATTGAATCTTGTGTCACGAATTCCATTTGTCATTTACGACTTCTCACGACACCCTACGTCAAGGAAATTGTGCCGAAATTGTGTTATCTGTGGCAGAATTGTAACACGGCTTACTGATTACTGAGCTGAAGCTTGGATTAAATTAAAATCAGCTTGAAGCTTAAAATAAATCATAGATCAAATCGCAATCGCAATTAGATATTTTCCCCAAATCGCACAGCTCTATTTCCCAAAAACTAAATTGCAGTGAGGGGAAAATGCTGAATGGCTAGAAACTTTGAAAACCACTAGCCACAGTGGCTGGTGAGCTACAAAATTAATGTCAAGCCCTGAGGGTAATGCTCTGAAAGTCCAAACCATTGGATCACATGCTAAGTTACATTATTCTTTACAGAGGTGGGAAGTAAGTGGGAAGAAGAGAAAACTTTCTAAAGCAGCACAGCATCACTTCAAACTATAAAGCAAATGGCTATCATCCAAACAGCAAATACCCACAGCTCTGCTCCATCCACACACCTTCCATAACCAGTGGATTTTATTTAGCTTAACTACATGTGGTAGAAAATTAAGTAAATGGAGGGATCAAATAATTACAGGTGCTGGTGTGAAGCATTTCTTTGGGTCATTTGCTCATGCATGTACTGGTACAGACCAGCCAATGCACATACTAATAGGTCACTCTGCAGTCTCAAAGCTCTACATGTGTGGCACACCCATTGAGGGGCGGTCTTTGTGTCTGGTTCCCGCCCTCTGCATAAGCCACACCTCCAGGGCTGTGATGCCCCGCCCCACTTTGCCTCCCGTAATAAAGCAGCATGCTGGAGCAGATGAGAGGTCCAGCAGAGGAAGAATCGGGTGTTAAACGAAAAGTGTTAATTATTTGTTTTACACTGCGTAAATAGAAACCCAAAACTGTCATCTCTTAGAATTAATAATATTAAGGAATGAATCGACAAAAAAAACAGTATATATTCATAATCACAAGACTTACGAGGACAGTACGACAGCGACAGCATCGTTCAGAACACTTTCTCCAAACAGCAGAGCGTACAGGTCCGCATCCACCTGCAGCTCATTGAAGATGGCCAGAACTGTCACTAGAAGACAAAGGAGTGTCAAATCAATATTGTGCTATGCTTAATGTGCAAATAACAGGGGATGTGATTTAGAGCTGCATAATATATTGATTAAGCATCGATATCGCAATGTGTAAATCAGCAAGTCACATTGCAGAATCTGCTATGTCAAGTTGGGATTATAATTAACCAGGAACCACATTTCAGAAGACATGATTCGTGGAGTCGATGGGCTCTATTTTGACGGCCCATGCGCAGATCGCAAACGCAGGGCGCAAACGCTTTCAGGGCGTGTCAGGACGCGTTTTTGCTAATTTAAAAATGGGAAAATCCGCTTTGCGCCGTGGCGCATGGTCTAAAAGGGTTGAGTTTATTTTCTTAATGAGTTATGGGTGTGTTTTAAGAATAAACCAATTAGAGTCTCATCTCCCATTCCCTTTAAAGAGCCAGTTGCGTTGCGCCATAAGCCCATTCGCTATTTACAGGACACAAAGTAAGTCTAAGTGGAAAAAAATAGCATTTCACTAGCAAACAGTTAACAGTTTTTTTTTAACAGAAAACTGTTAAACAGAGCATCTACTGCGTGAGAATGAGAGATAATGGATCTACTTTCACTTTCGCTCTTGTATAGGGAAACCTTTACGCACAGACATCAATTAGTCTATAAATAATTCATTGCGTTTGTTAAGCGCAAATATTTGTTTCAAAACTATTTCTAAATTCAGTTCTAATTTCCAGCAAACGAATAAATGAACAATAATAACGAAGTGTGCTCAAAAACCTGAGTTATATCCTAAAACACATGCTGTGTCCCATATGGTCTAAAACCTGACAGGTGGGCAAATCTAAGCTTGTTTTTAATAAAACAAATATAAATATGGATATATTAAATAATACAGCTAATAATGAATGAACTGAAAAAGCCTCGCGAGATGAAGAAGACATATAAGCAGTGATTTTTCATATTTATGTAGGCTAGAAAATAATGTTTTGTAATATTTTAATCCTTTATATTTATATTCTATCTATTCTTATTATATACTATATATACCCTTAATATTTAATTTTTTTCATATGTAAAGATATTTGCCTATTACTCTCTTGTGCGTATTAAGCAGTGTATAAGCGAGGTGCAACTCTGCGCCGGAGTTTAGACCGGGTTTGTTTTGGTCTAATGAAAAATGTATTTTAGTTTCTCAAAATAGCAACGCGCCAGCGGTCCGCCTCAAAACGCCTCCCTTTTTAGACCAGAACGCCTATGGGCGCACAAATGAGCGATAATGCATTTGCTATTTAATCAGCGTAGCGCAACGCCTCAAAACGACTCTTGCGCCAAGCTGAAACTAGCAAAAGACTATTGCATTGCACCTTGCGCCACATTGCGCCGGGTGTATGATAGGGCCTATTGTGTCAGTTTAAGATTTTCGACTTGGATGTGTTTTTAAGGCCTGTGACAGGAAGATTTAAAGCAAATTTAAACCATTTGAGAACAAAACATTATTTTTAAGTTTAAGTTTGCTGATTTAACAAAACTCATTTGCCATTTTATCATTTTAAAAATCACTTATCAATTTAGCATTTTAATTATTTTTAACAAAGAAGACTATATACAGTTTTATTTTACATTTGATTATTGAATTTCTATTACTCAATACTGTTTGACTCTACCGAAAACCATAAAGCGATGTTTATTTCCTATTTATCTCTATTCTACTATTTTCATCTGTGCTAACTTATTTTATTTAGCATATTTTTGGATAATTTTGTATATTTTATGCAGATACACTCGCCTACAAAGATCCTTCCGATCAATGTAAAACTATTATTTCCAAACAGTTACTCAAGTCATATTATATTGATATATCAGAATTACAAAATATCCCAATCATTCATTTTTCTTTGGCTTATTCTCTATCTCAAAGGTCACCACGTGAGAATGAAGCACCAACTATTCCTGCATTTGTGTTATGCAGTGGATGCCCCTCTAGCTGCAACCCAGCATTGTGAAACACCCATACAACCTCACACAATACGGACAATTTAGTTTATTCAATTCACCTATAGCGCATGTCTCTAGAATTTGGGGAATACTGGAGGAAACCCATGGGAACAAGGGCAGAACATGGAAACTCCACACAGAAATGCCAACTGGTCCAACTGGGCCTCGAACCAGTGACCTTCTTGCTGGGAGCCACTGTGCTGCCCTCCAAATATCCCTATGTCTGTTTTTTGTCCAACATCATGCAGCCCTAGAGTAATCCCCTCCAATGTTTCTTGTTTCTGCACTTAATTTAGTTACAGTATCAATAAAAGTAACTTCTTTTCAATGGTGGTCAAAATCCAAAATGATTTGCTTAGTTTCATTCATAATTGTTTGCAATAGCCATTGTGATTAAATAACAATCCAAACAGTGAATCTACTCCACTTTACCACAATGCTGCAGATTAAATTTTATGTTTAATTTAGTCACAAGGTCAAGCCGTGGTGTCATGATCTATTGATCCCACAGCTTTATGTGATAAAAACTGATAAGTATGAGTTCACGAAACTTAAACTTTGGGACACCAGCTGACTAGTTAAGTACTTAAGTACACACCTATGGGCTGAACAGTCTTCACAAAATTTTCCTTATTTTAGTGTACATGGAGACAATAAATGTCTTCAAAAACTATTCAGGGCATTTTAAAAATGTTGTTTTCAGGCTCACAAAACACTGTTAACCTTTAAATGAATGGACAAAATGCAAAATTTAAAAGTGTAAATGCCCACAAAAACTATTTAAAGTCACTAAATCAATATTTAAAAAAAAAACAAATGTGTTTGAATAATACAGCTTAATACAACCAGAAATAAAGCTGTGGCAAAAAAATCATTTGAGAAATTAATTCAGAGATTTTTAAATTGCATCATTACTCTCTTGTGAATCGTTTCTGAGTTCAGTTTTTAACATTTTAAGTATTTTGAAAATTTGAGAATCTACTCAGAAACACATTTAGGCTCTGCTGTAAGGACTGTAATACCTGGATCAGTGGCTGAGACAATTGCACCAAAGAAAAGGCAATCAGTGAAGAAGAAGTCGTCTTGCAGATGACCAATTTTCTTCATCAGCATCACACAACCATACATTAACGCCCTGAAAAACAAACCGCACAAGACTAAAAATCTCACTCTCAGTTCTGGAGCAACCACTTGAAAAAAAAAAAAGACCACGTGTACACACTAACCCAATGATGAAACACGACACAACGGTTCCCACAAACGCATAGGCAAGAATAGAGCCCAGATTTCTGAAGAAATGTCTCTGAAACACGAAACAGACACAAAACAATTCTAATGAATAATGACCTCTGATTTGGCTTTGATATGAGCTACATCAACTTGTGCACACAACATCTGAAATGTATAATTTATTAAAAAGGGAAAAGCCTTACTCGTTTTAAACTGTAGCCAGCATGAAAAATGATGGGAGGCAAGAGAATATTGAAAAAGACCTCAGGGTCAAAGGTCACCTGAAATGCAATAAGAAAGGTAGACTTTCATTTACATGTATTAGAATAATGAGAAATCAATACACAGCTATTCAAAAGCACTGACTCCAAACCACTGAACAGCTCTATATTAGGAGAAAAATTAGGAGACCAATAGGACATATGTATAACAGATGTTTTCATTTGTTGTGGTTAAAAACAAGGGTTATAACTCTTCCAAAGTCAAAAGATTGGTAACATGTTGTCTAAATTTCTCTAAATGACAACATTTCTATTTGAAATTTTGAAGAAAATTCGTCAGTAGTTTACAGGATTAAAAAAAAACAATACACCAATATACATACAACTATAAATCATGATCCCAGAAATAAATGTGAATTTTCAGATGGCCTCAATTTTTTTCCACACCTGTGTATTCCTTTAAAGGTGCTGTATGTAAGTTTTTTGCATTCTTGTTTATCTGAAATAACAATGCTAAAGATATTTTGTTTGAAAATGTGAATCACGTGAAAATGTGAGTTAAGTTCAGAATTCTACATGAGTTAGTTATTAATTAGCAATTAATATAAATATTACAAACATAAACATTAGGGTACATTGTAACCTTGTGTCCTAACAACACGCTACATGACGAGATTTGCAGTGATAAGCAATTTAGCTGTTTGCACCAGACGAAACACGACATTTAAATTCAGCCATTCAGAAGAACACAATAGTGCACTTACTGCATTCCAATGAAATGGTAAGATTTTCAATATAATTAATACATATTAGGCCTCTTTAAAGTTATTAAATGTAGACAATGAATCACTGATATGTGTTGGCTTGCACAGTGAGTCACAGTTCTAAAGTTCAATTTCAAATGGTTCATTTTATTTTCAAGATCTGTAGTATGGCAATAAATGTCATGTAAAATGGCATTCAAACTTGCATTATTGGCCTTTAACACTGAGTAAAGCACATGAGGTGTACCTGAGGTGATCAGTTTATTCTGTTACTCACCTGTGAGAAACAGTAGCCATTTCTAAAATATACATTTCAGGTGTTTGTTAGAACAAAAACTCCTTTAAATAAATAATTTTCTATCTGCCTTAAATCAGTCTTTAGGCTCGATAGTCAGGCACACCCAATCTGGCAACCTTAGCTTGCATGGACTCATCAGAGGAGGAGCTGAGTGAAAATATATTTTGATCTAGGAGTGCAATAACAAGTTCAACCACTGGGTCTCAAACTTACATACTGCACCTTTGAAAACCACCTTTTCTAAATTATTTGATTAAAATAAGTTAAACTAGATTCTTAAAGTTTGAGAACAAACTTTGAGGCTGGCTTGTGAAAGCCTGACGGTAATAGTTTATTTAGTTTAAACAGTTTTTAAAACTATGAAAAGATAGATAGATAGATAGATAGATAGATAGATAGATAGATAGATAGATAGATAGATAGATAGATAGATAGATAGATAGATAGATAGATTAGCATGTTATTAGCATGGTTCTAGCATGAATTAGCATGTTTTTAACATGATTCTAGCATGAATTAGCATGTTACTAGCATGATTTTAGCGTAAATTAGCATGTTACTAGCATGATTTTAGCATGAATTAGCATGATTCTAGCATGAATTAGCATGTTGTTAGCATGATTCTAGCATGAATTAGCATGCTACTAGCATGATTCTAGCATGAATTAGCATGTTGTTAGCACGATTCTAGCATTAATTAGCATGTTACTAGCATGATTCTAGCATGAATTAACATGTTGTTAGCATGATTCTAGCATGAATTAGCATGCTACTAGCATGATTCTAGCATGAATCAGCATCTTGTTAGCATGATTCTAGCATGAATTAGCAAGTTGTTAGAATGATTCTAGCATGAATTAGCATGTTACTAGCATGATTTTAGCATGAATTAGCATGTTACTAGTATGATTCTAGCATAAATTAGCATGTTACTAGCATTATTCTAGCATGAATTAGCATGTTACTAGCATGATTCTAGCATGAATTAGCATGTTGTTAGCATGATTCTAGCATGAATTAGCATGTTACTAGCATGATTCTAGCATGAATTAGCATGTTGTTAGCATGATTCTAGCATGAATTAGCATGTTACTAGCATGATTCTAGCATAAATTAGCATGTTACTAGCATTATTCTAGCATGAATTAGCATGTTACTAGCATGATTCTAGCATGAATTAGCATGTTGTTAGCATAATTCTAGCATGAATTAGCATGTTACTAGCATGATTCTAGCATGAATTAGCATGTTGTTAGCATGATTCTAGCATGAATTAGCATGTTACTAGCATGATTTTAGCATGAATTAGCATGTTACTAGCATGATTCTAGCATAAATTAGCATGTTGTTAGCATGATTCTAGCATGAATTAGCATGTTACTAGCATGATTCTAGCATAAATTAGCATGTTACTAGCATTATTCTAGCATGAATTAGCATGTTACTAGCATGATTCTAGCATAAATTAGCATGTTACTAGCATTATTCTAGCATGAATTAGCATGTTACTAGCATGATTCTAGCATGAATTAGCATGTTGTTAGCATAATTCTAGCATGAATTAGCATGTTACTAGCATGATTCTAGCATGAATTAGCATGTTGTTAGCATGATTCTAGCATGAATTAGCATGTTACTAGCATGATTTTAGCATGAATTAGCATGTTACTAGCATGATTCTAGCATAAATTAGCATGTTGTTAGCATGATTCTAGCATGAATTAGCATGCTACTAGCATGATTCTAGCATGAATTAGCATGTTGTTAGCATGATTCTAGCATGAATTAGCATGTTACTAGCATGATTTTAGCATGAATTAGCATGTTACTAGCATGATTCTAGCATAAATTAGCATGTTACTAGTACTATTCTAGCATGAATTAGCATGTTACTAGCATGATTCTAGCATGAATTAGCATGTTGTTAGCATGATTCAAGCATGAATTAGCATGTTACTAGCATGATTCTAGCATGAATTAGCATGTTGTTAGCATGATTCTAGCATGAATTAGCATGTAACTAGCATGATTCTAGCATGAATTAGCATGTTGTTAGCATGATTCTAACATCAATTTGAATGTTACTAGCATGATTCTAGCATGAATTAGCATGTGAATAGCATGATACTAGCATGAATTAGCATGTTGTTAGCATGATTCTAGTATAAATTAGCATGTAACTAGCATGTTTCTAGCATGAATTAGCATATTGTTAGCATGATAGATAGATAGATAGATAGATAGATAGATAGATAGATAGATAGATAGATAGATAGATAGATAGATAGATAGATAGATAGATAGATAGATAGATAGATAGATAGATAGAAAGATGGATACAGACAGACAGACAGTTAGACAGACAGATAGATAGATAGATAGATAGATAGATAGATAGATAGATAGATAGATAGATAGATAGATAGAAAGATGTAGATAGATAGATAGATAGATGTAGATAGATAGATATATAGATAGATAGATAGATAGATAGATAGATAGATAGATAGAAAGATGTAGATAGATAGATAGATAGATAGATAGATAGACAGATAGATAGATAGATAGATAGATAGATAGATAGATAGATGGTGTATGAGCATGAGTCAAACAAGCCAACCCCCGCCTCTCTACGATGTTCTGATGCTGAGATATAGCTGGTGTCATATCGTTGCTAGGTTAGTCTGTTTTGTTGCTATGGAGTTGATTGACAGCTAAGACTGATGATGTATACAAGCTTCTTGCCAGTATGAACAGTTAAAAACAACCCCCATGTCTCTATCACACTGCAGCATGACAATATCAGTCTGAACCTCTTTAATGGCAGTCTATGGGACAGTTGCTAGGGTGCAGTATCTGGTTGTTAGGGTGTGGCTAGAAAGTTAAAAGGCCATCAGTGATTGGCTGCTGGCTAGACTGAGTTAAATGAGCTCAGCCATTAGTCTGTAGGACAGTTTGATGCAGAGTTATGAGCTCACAAAGTTTGATCCAATGTAAAGTCAATGAGAGTCTTTTGCAATGGAAGTCTATGGGACGGTTTCTAGGGTCCAAAAGTGGTTGCTAGGGCGTGGCCAGAAAGTTTAAAGGTGATCAGTCATTGGCAGATTGATGGTCTGAATTAAATGAGCCTAGTTAGAAGTCTGTGTGACATTCTGACGCGGAGTTATGAGGTCGCAAAGTTTGATCCAATGTTACGTCTATGGGATTTTTCCGACGGTCCCGGGACGTTTTTCGGAAAACCGAAAGTCGGATCAGTCGGAAAAGATATAGCAACTCGAGTCAGAATAGTTCGGAGGTCTGACCCAAGTTTGATGGTCATAGCTTGAAAGGCCTAGGACGAGATAGAGTTTAATTTTTAGTCTCAGAAGAAGAATAATAATATAGAATAACTAGATTCTTAAAGTTTGAGAACAAACTTTGAGGCTGGCTTGTGAAAGCCTGACGGTAGTAGTTTATTTAAACAGTTTTAAAAAGTATGAAAAGATAGATAGATAGATAGATAGATAGATAGATAGATAGATAGACAGATAGACAGAAAGACAGATAGATGTTGTTAGCATGATTCTAGCATGAATTAGCATGTTAGCATGATTCTAGCATGAATTAGCATGTTGTTAGCATGATTCTAGCATGATTTAGCATGTTGTTAGCATGATTCTAGCATGAATTAGCATGTTACTAGCATGATTCTAGCATGAATTAGCATGTTGTTAACATAATTCTAGCATGAATTAGCATGTTACTAGCATGATTCTAGTATGAATTAGCATGTTACTAGCACGATTCTAGCATGAATTAGCATGTTACTAGCATGATTCTAGCATGAATTAGCATGTACCTAGCATGATTTTAACATGAATTAGCATGTTACTAGCATGATTTTAGCATGAATTAGCACGATTCTAGCATGAATTAGCATGTTGTTAGCATGATTCTAGCATGAATTAGCATGTTACTAGCATGATTCTAGCATGAATTAGCATGTTGTTAGCATGATT